GAGAGAGAGAGAGAGAGAGAGAGAGAGAGAGAGAGAAATGAGACAACGGCATACAATCTTTGTGTAATTAGACGCTATCGGGAAGCGCATTTAGAGTATAATATAATTAATATACCACAATATACTATAAATAAAAATCACATTGAGTTACTATGGTTAAAAGAATGAAGCTTTTGTAAGCTAAAACTTTTGTTACTTATACCGCGTATCGATTGCTTGAAAGAATCAGTGTCGCCATCGGCTGGTCGACTGGTGGAATTATACACGTCGCCACATCGGTATAGTTGAAGATCTGACAACTTTTTATTGGGTTATAATATACATCAGTTATTTTAAATTTTATATTTAATGTGACGCGTATAAAAAAAAAACAATTAAGAGAAATAACTTTCTCCTTACAATTATAATATTTCAATTTTCCATGACAGAAGCATGAAGAATGAGAAGAATCTTTAAATGTATCTTAAGAAATTACTAATTACTGAATATTGAATATGTGAAGCTCGCAATGTAATTGCAGAAAGGTAAATAGAAGAAAACTTTATTAGGAAATGCAACATGTTCTGATTGCATTTTGCTATTATAGATGATAATCTCGAGTAGAGGAAATTTCTTTGCAAGAACATTCGCATATCCATTCCATTTGATTTTCAAATTTAAAAAAAGATATTTCGAATCGAAGGCATGCGATCAGGAAGCACAGTTGACGCAGACGAGTATCTTCGTACAAGAAGGTGCGCGTATACAAGAAGTTCCTTTAATAGTCAAGAAAATCACCAGCATCGATGCTCTCCTCAACAAACAAAACCTGAGAACCGTTGTACCTTCAAATAAACCCAAGAAACCCGCGATATGTCGTAAGGACAATATATCTCATTCTGTCAACACGAGTGTGATGAAAAATGGGCCTTTAAAACATACTATTAGTGTAGAGACTAATGAAGGTACGGCGATTCTTTACTGCTCTGATATTGAGCGTTTGAAAAACACAGACGTGGAACAGGTTCTGAATGCGATAAACTCGGGGAACACTGATAAAAGAGTTTATTCCTCGCTGGAGAACAAGATCGCTAATGAGATAAATTGCCGGATAGCGCTCCAAAGTTTGAGGAAGATGATAGAATTGGAAAGCGGATGGAACCGATACCGAAAAACCTCGTCGAACGCTCAACCATCTGCAGAGGCCGTCAATAGAGACATCATTTTGCAACAACTTGTAAGTCTGATTGTCAAAAGCCAAGACAGCGAGACGATATTACAAGGACTAAAGGCGTTAAAGAGAGATAGATTTAGCCCTTCGAGAAATATTTATAAGGACCGGATGTGCAACGAAGTCATGATTAGAGCCACGGACGGCGAGCTTAGCATGTCGCAGTTAATCAGAGCGGTGAGAATTCTAGTTAATTATGGAAACTCCAAGTACAGAAACTGTATAGACATGTTGTGGGTAGGTCTGGCGTGTAGGGAACAGGATATTAAACCGGATCTACTGGTTCCGTTATTCAGATCGCTGAAATATTTCCAACGAAGTAAAAATATGGTACAGATTATTTTGGAAAAGAAACTATCGGAGCAGTGGTTAAAGTTGACCGGTTTGCAGATGGCAAGTATTCTGAACTGTCTGTACGGAAAAGAGTCGTCGCAAGACTGTCTATCGAGTGCTAGTAAATGGGCAAACGTGAGTATGACCACTTCTACCGAGAAAGATCTCGTCAATTTTATTGGCAGTTTGCACACGAAAAAATATGTCGATGAAAGTATAGAACAAGCGTTGGCGAGATACGTAACGAGCAAAGGCACCGAGATGAAAGATCCTCATTTAATCGCTTCCATCATGGATTACTGCAAAGATTTACGAATTCGAAATCCATACGTTCTCGCTGAATGTGGAAAATATTTCATAAGACATGGAATGCAAATTTCGCCTACGTTATTGTCCCCCATTCTCGCGCCATTTGGATTATTGAGTTTACAACCACCGGATCCGACTGAGTTTTGGAAGATGTTCGACAAGGTGATGTCTGCAAGATTCTCAGATTTGAAGCTAAACGACGCTTTAGACATTCTTCTGTCTTGCACATATCTAGAAAAATATCCCATTAAGCTTTTGGATAAAGTCTTTAGTTCGTATCTTATGAACAGACTGCAAACGCAAAAGGACGTGCCTGTCGTCAATCGGTTGAAAAACAAATTGAAATTATTCGACGCGACTATGTCGTTGGAATGTAAAGATTATCGTGGCAGTCCGATTAATCTAGACAGTAACACGAAGTCATTAAGTTTAGATATGAGAATCAGAGGTATTACTAATAATATATACAAACCACTGGCGCACTTGGTAGGCGGTGAGCACAAGTTAAGCAGGAGTGTGGTTTTGAGCAGGCTACCCCTCATAAACTTTTATATTTTGGATATTCTTGTACATCCGCTTTTAAAGTCAATGCCGGTGTTCAATTTAAATCTACATAAAAAGAGAAACGTCAATACTGCGATTCTAATCTATTTGCCCGAATATTATTGCTGGAATACACGGTTCTTAATAGGGCCACAGGTAATGAGAAAACGTCAAGTTAGAAAATTGGGTTTCCGAGTTGCACATTTAGATTACGCCAAGTTGACAGAACTTGTAGATCAAGACGACAAATTGCTATCCTATTTGTCACAAAGTCTGGACACTGCCGAAGATGCTTTATAAATCGTTTCTCGTGTGACAGATGTATTTTACGGATGTAAAAATTTACAGACGAAACTGTAGTGTGAAAAGCAATGTAACTACATATTTTTTAAATAATAATAATAATAAAGCATTGTATTCTAAATGGAATAGACGTTTACAAAAAATTTGTAGTTATTTTTTTAAATCAACATATTTTTGTAGCTCTGTGAATTCTTCTTTTTGTTTCATACAGCCGGGTGATAAAGTCTCCTCAAGAAATTGAAGTATTGCGGTATGTGTGCAAGATAAGTTCGGAGGCTCACAAAACTGTAATGCGCTCTATGCGCCCTGGGATTCCGGAATATAAAGCAGAGGCTTGGTTTTTGAATTATGTATACGCTGTGGGAGGATGCAGGCATGTATCTTACACGTGCATCTGCGGATCCGGACATAATTCCTCTATATTGCACTATGGTCATGCCGGTGCGCCGAATAGTAAAGTCATACAAGATGGAGATATGTGGTAAGATTTTAGTTGCAGCTGATCTAGCTATTCGTTACAATTTTCTTATATGTATATTGCATGTTTGGGTAACGCGTTCTCCTATCTGTCACGTAGCTTGTTCGACATGGGCGGTAATTACTGTGGATACGCAGCTGATATTACGTGCAGTTTTCCGGCCAACGGAAAATTCACCGAGGATCAAAAACTGATCTACAACGCGGTGCTGAAAGCACGCGATGCGGTAATCGCGACTGCGAAGCCAGGAGTCGCTTGGACCGATATGCATCTCTTGGCGAATAAAGTCATGTTGACGTCGTTGAAGAAAGGTGGATTACTAGTGGGCGATGTCGAAGATATGATAAAAGCTGGTCTAAACGAAGTATTTCAGCCTCATGGACTGGGTCATTTGCTGGGACTGGATGTGCACGATGTTGGTGGATATCTGCCTGGTCATCCTGAACGCTCGAAGGACGCAGGGGTGAGAAAATTGAGAACCGCGCGGACATTGCTCGCCGGAATGGTTCTCACGGTGGAACCAGGCTGTTATTTTATAGACTGCGTAAGTGTAGAGATAATTGGCGAATAATTTTTACACAAACTTTAGAACCAGTTTTATCGGATATTTAGAGTAATTTTTATTACAGTTGCTCGACGCAGCTCTTGCTGATCCGATCCAGTCGACGTTCCTTGTGCCAGAACAGTTGCGGAGATTCTGTGGTTTTGGTGGCGTCAGGATCGAGGATGACGTCCTCATAACGGAAACTGGAGTTGAAAATATGACGGATGTTCCACGCACGTAAGTTCATTTTCAGCATGCTTATTTACTATTTTCTATTATTTTAAAAGTAAACTATTTTACAATTTTATATTTCAGAGTTGAAGAAATAGAAAACTTCATGCAGAGTTGATTAATTGAGAAGAAAAATTCGAAAATTTTGAGATATAAAAAAGTGAAAAGTTGAACAAATTGCTTATTAACTATTTGCAATCGTGATAAAAAGACATATATTCATATAATTTCTTATCAGATTTTTACGTGTATATATATTTGTATCGATTTATACGTAAATGTAACGAATAAAGCAAGAAACTGAGATGCCATAATGTAACGTTACACCACGACATTATGGTATGTCGTTAAATCGATATTTCTGCGGCTATCGAGTAACAAGATTTTTCAAGCAAGATTTTTCAAACCCACGCGTTCGCACGTGCAAGACTTTCTCACGCTAATGCCTTAGTAGACTAGAACAGGTAGGTTTAAGATCATTGGTAAAAGTCATTTATTCTTCACCTGAGTTACGTCTATTTCGGAGTAGCCTTGGCGACTTCTGATGGTGGAATTGAAAGCACTTTCAACTTAGAGACACGTTAGTGTCACGAGCCGGGAGATTAGAGCTTAATTCGATGCACGTGGATACTTTTTTATCGCTTAAGAGTTATGTGACCGACGTGTACGTTTGCACGTGCTGCTACATATTGTGATCGACACGCCAAACGTCAAATCAAGCAGCATCTGCCGCGTATTGCAGTCGTACATCTTAAATTTCACAAGAGCAACATAATATCGCACAGCCAACGTCAACGAACCGAGAGTTTCCGCTCGCTAAAAAAAATCGCGAAGTGCTAAAACGCTCTCGCGTCTCCAATTTCGCGCGCGACGGAAGATAAATTTGCGCTGCATTCCCTCAGATAAACAATTAATGAAGAAGGCATTGACGTCAAGACACTTTATCACCGTTCACAAAAGGTTTCGGTGAAAATATCGTAGAAAGCGAAGGAGAAAGCGGGACATGAATGACGAAGAATTGCGTCGTTCCCACGACTGCGTGTGTAAAAATAAAGCACTGGCCCCTGGGCGGACATTATACCACAATTAGATCGTGTATAGGTCTGAAAATACGCTATCGGCTGATCTCGCCTACGAGATGTTAAACTACTCGCAGTATATATTTATACATTTCAATTTGAAGTCCCTTTAATTTTGCGCGATCCTACGACTGGGTCAGCTCGTGGAGGTTACTCGTTTTTCGCAGAGAAGTCGGGACCCCAAGGGAAATCCGCGGTTTATCGGTCGTCGGCGATTACCGTCGGGACCTGCATCTCGACGCCAATAGAACTGACATGGTTGGTTTACAAGCACGTGTTACAAGAATATGCGTTTGACGTAACACGCCAGCATGTCACACGCCGCAGGCGGGGTACGTTCACCGTAGAGATCCTATAACGGGGTTATAATAGAGTCTGGTCACGAGATGACAAACATTTTATAATATTAGCTCGTCGTTTTTGTCAACTTCAATAAGTTAGAATGAATATGTATATAGTATATCTATATATATATATATATATATATATAAAACGAGACAGTAGTTGATTTTCGATATGAGACACAGATGACACAGTAATACAGTAGATTACATCTTTGTTGTTTGCCAATATTAAACAAAGATGACATGATCACTGTGTCGTTTGATATATCGCTTGAAGGATACATATACCTAGAAAGTATTATATATATACCCTTCTTCCTTATTTTGGACAAAATTGTTCGTGGCTGGACTTTGTTGTAGGAATCTCTGGTTCACTGGAAAAAAGAAATCCCGGTGCACGCGCACCGTAAACTTATCACAATGTCGTAGTGTCAATGATACGCGTCGCGACGCTCATCGATCGCGCGATCGAAACGAAAGAGCGCAGACGCACTCGACAGCTCGCGGCATTGAGCTCTTTTTTTCTTTCTTGACGGAACGTCTTTTTCCACTTCGTTTGATGAGATCCGCTCTCGCTCTAGAGATCATTCTCAAACTGCTTGATGTTATAATAATAATTACGATTATAATAATGAGTGTGCCAGGCTCTTATAAAAAATTTTTTTTTTAAAGAACAATTTTGCTGAAATATCTAAAAATTTACATAAAAATTTAAAAATAATTTTGTTATGAAAATAATAAATAGAACGTTCAACTGATTGTGCTACAATGCCAATACTTTTTGGAGCTTTATTCCTTATATTTGAGACTCTTCTGTAATTTTGATGGTCCAACAAAATTACTTTTAGATCTGTAATATCTAATTTTTAGGTACTTTAGCAAAGTCGTTCTTTCCGTGATATCTAATGCATTAAAGGAGAGAGAATTCCGAAAGTTTAAATTAGATTCGAATCGGCGAAATGACCCTTATTCACGACTCTGCTGAATGGTCATTATTATCGGAAATAGATTTTCGGATAAACGGAGAAGGCACTAAGAGGCTCCATTATCTTTGCTCGATACGTGTCATTTTCTTCTCGAATGGACCAGAATCATTCGCGCAAAGTAAAGGTTTCCCATCGTTCAGACCGAGCGATAAAAAATGTTGTCACCAGAAAAAATTGTGGAGACCGTCCTATACACGTACTTAAATTCATAATATCAAATTATATCCAATTTGAGATACTTTTAATCATTTCTATGGTACTGCTTCCACTTGTTACGTCGTTAATTTAATTAAAACAATGGAGTTGATCGATTTAGCTCAAGAATAAAGTGTGTAGATATTAAATTTTACTCAAATTCATTATTTATTAAGTGCTATATGGGTATTGTTTACGTTGAAATTAACTACACAGAAATGGATTGATTTACATGTTGACACACATGGAATATATTAAAAAGTAATAAAACGGTATTTATAACTCAAGGGGGATTGGGTTACCATTGCTCCTTTAATAGCTATTCATGTAGACGTCTTTAAGAGGTGTTTCTCGAACACCTTATCGTTTGATCAACTTGAACAGTAGCGCGACTGAGGGGGGAATTGGTACCTCCCTGCGAATCAACTTGTGGATTCGCGCGCTACCAACTTGGTGCTCCAGAGAGACAGACGGAGATGGATAAAGGAGGCACTCGGATAAGAATAGGAGCGCGATAGGCAACGCGGCAAGCAGCCGTGAAAGTCGGCTTCTCCAACACGCATGCCTGACGCCGCGCCGTCGCCATCGTCGTCGCCATCGACGTCCGCCTTCATATCGACGAGCAGCCGTGCGAGCCGCTCGCGACGCTGCCAGCAAGCCAGTGGCCCTACGACCGTCGGAACAAATCCCTCTGCGTCGTGCCGACGACGAGGATGCGCAGGGTTGAAGGAGGAAATAGCGGACAACAAGAAAGGAAAAACTACCGGCGCGACGGCGAAACCGGAGGCGCATCCGCTTATTTCGCCGTTATTCAGGAGGAGGGAGGGGGGGAGGACAGCGTGACCTGGGCTCACCACGTGTCTTTTGCTTTGACGTTGCATTTGGCGATACGCCCGACATGCGTCCGCAACACGATCACCTGCCTCGATCTCTTGTTCGGCGAGCGTCGCGATGTCACCCGCGAATAATTAAAGCTACTGTTGCGGAAGGAGGGAAGGTGCAGGCCGGCAGGGAAGAGAGAAGAAGTATGCTCGTGACCCGCGAGATGTGAACTCATGGGGACTCGGGTAGTAACAAGATCATCGTCGTCGAAGAGATCATGACGTCGTTGCGCAGTTAGGGAGCGGTCGGATCAGATGAAATGCGCTTCGCTTTTCTGATACCGCGGAAGGGACGAAACGGGAAATTGCGGTCGTGATACTGTCGTGCCCGAGAGAGAGAGAGAGAGAGAGAGAGAGAGAGCGCGGCAGGAAGTACGTGCTGCACGCGTGCGATTTCATTGTCGTCTTCCCGCGATAGCGAGAGAGAGGAGAGGAGGAACGCACGCGTGTCCGCGCAATCACGCGCACCGTGATTTATTTCGGCACGCGGTAATTTCGGGGCTCCGAGAGCGAGCACGAGGAGGCAGCGGACTTCGGAGGAGGGGATGCGGTTGGACGGCACTCGCGCCGCGAGTAAAAGAGAGGCCGCCGCGGGATAGAGCGAGAGTAAAGCCCGCGCCGCTTGCGTCAGTGGGGCACGCTGCGAGAAAACGGTCGCATTCGCGAGCTGCGCTGGCGGATCATTCGCGTAATAAACCACGACCGCGAATGTTGGAAGGATCGTAGAGATAAGTAACGGATATTCCGCGGATAGATATGCGGGTTCCGGTTCAGATAGACGCGTATCTGATGTTTGCGTGTGCGTGTATACGTGCGTATATTCGAACAGGACGGAGTAAAAGTACGCGCTCCAATTTCGGAGGCGTGACTCCAAGCGAATGTAAGAGATTCGACTTGTAGGTAGACGGATTATTAAATTATTGAAATTGCGATCGTGACGTTGTTGCCTTTATCATTGACGTAAATGAGGTTTATCACTCAGCGAAGAAAAGATATTGCACAGCGACGAACTGCTCTCTCTCTCTCGTTTATCCTACCAAGTCGTGGAATGATGCTTTCGAATATTGTTGCGAATAAGTGATAAAACTCTTGAAAAATACCAATTACTAGTGACGCGAAAACTCCAAGTTGTACAAATTGACGAGATAAGAAAAGATTTCACAGATCAGTACAGAATGTTATACATTTCGTAAAAAACAAAATACAGAACACCCGCTAATTAAATACAGTGTAATAATGAAGATCAGGTTTTAATTCTCTCAGATTGAGCACGTTTACGAAATTACTGAAGAAAACTTCCTTTTGCCGCGTGCGGTGGCAAGTTTCGTATAGAAGAATTTGCCGAGAGGTGAAAGAGCGGATTGATGCAGACGACGGTCTGAAATTTACTCTGCAATACATACAGTGGAATAATCCACAGCTGTAAAGACGAAGAAATCAGCTGCGATAAGAATCGTCGGGTATTATCTAATCGCGGAATCGTTCACCCGCGTACCACCGTACTTTAATCGGCACGGTGAACGCATGTCACAGGATTGGTTCCGTCGAAATCTGTCGACGTCGCGATCGACAGTACAATCTGTCTGCGCGCAAAAAAACGAAGGATCATTCGACTCGATCGCGAGTTATAGAATCTTCTAAGCCGCGATCTTTTTCACGCGAATTGAAGGACAGTGCAACGAAGCAACTTATAAAATAGAGGGTAGTGTTCACCAATCGTGATCGTTTGCAACGATCGGAAAGAGTCCGATGATTAGGCGAATGTTGTCGCGAAGTAATCTCTAATTTCGTTTGGATTTCATGGCTGCGCTATGATTAGAGTCCAGCTTGGCGCAATTAAAAGGTAGAAGCCTATAGAAAGAAAGAAGAGGAAACAAAGTTCTGTCTTCATCACCGAGTGCACGAGGATCGTCCGGCGAGAGGAAAGACAAGTTCCTTGTGACAGATTTTCTCGAGCGGCTTCTTGGATTTAAACTTCGGAAGAGCCGATATCCGGTGTATATACACACGTAGATTAAGCGAAGGTGGAGGAGATACGAGAGGGCAAACGACAGGCGTACGATAATCCCGCCTGAACTCGCGACTAGTAGTCATCGATCGACCACGAGACGCCGTGCGCCGCGACGCCCTCTTCTCGCCTTTCTGCCAGTTGTCCCCACCTGTCCCTGTCTTGTCCTGTCCTCGGTGTTGTGCCAAACATTTACGTCGGAAACACACGCCTGGCGCGCTCTTTCCTTGTCCCTTTCTTGCCCTCTATCTTCCCCCTCTCTCTTCCCATTCCTCACCTCCGTTCTCTCTCTCTCTCTCTCCCTCTCTTCCCCCCCCCCCCCCCCCCATGCCTCCTTTGCAGATCCTATCTCCTCCGGTATAAACTGTATAGTCCGCCTGAGTAATCCTACTGCCAAATAGACGGGCGTGGGTCACGTTCCTCCCGCGCCGAACGGTGCACCGCGGTGGCTTTGACATCGCCGCCGGCACACGAGGTGTTGTCGCCGATGCCGTAGGTGGGAATCAGTACGTCGGCGTCTATCGCGGCGTGCGGACCTCGACGATGTGTCGCAGCGCGTTTCAACGTGCGCGCAAAAAAACAAACGACTGAGCTTGGCGCGCGTCGAGGCAAAACGTTTTTCCAAATTAATCTCGGAGTACCTCCCCGGGGTTCATTGAAGTGCTTGTCCCAATTGATCCATCTTTCTCGCAATGGTGACCAATGCTGATCCCGAAACGCTAAAATGCGTGCGTACCCTTTGAATCATCAGACAATTTAATCTCTAGTGAAAGAGAAAACGCGCGTGTGGTGGATTTGGCGATAAAATTCGACGCTTCGTTTTGACACGCAACAATTATCCCAGCTGATAGATATTAGAAAAAATACATCGCTACGCGACGTGGAGGAACAAAGAGTTTCCCCTCGTTGTAGACACGCGCGACAGGGATTATTGGTCCGCGAAGGCGTCGCGGAAACAAGCGAGAAAGTTCAGGCAGAAAAACAGACGGCACGTAAAATCCTCTATCCGATCGGGTCGGCGATACAGTCATCGTATCTCATGTCGATGCAATTAGAACAAGAAGATACAACAAGAACACCGCATACCTCGCTACAACGTAGATTATTCATTTGAGGGCGTATTTTTGCCTCGTTCTTCAGCCTCTATATTAACTCCGATTAGAACTTCAGTCAGTCTTCTAACGAGGACTTCTAAGAGTCTGCCTACAAATCGCACAATGTTTTGCTTCCAAGCTCCCTTCACGCGATCGCGTGGCGTTACGTCCACCGCATCGCTATCGAAGAGCAAGTCGTCGCTGTCGAAGAGTAAGACCTCGTTGTCGAATGCGATCCCATCGCCCACATCCGCCAAGACATCCAACGTGAGCGAGCGCAACCGACGTGGCTCCGAGGCGACCAGCGAGGGCTCCAACTCTTCCATCAAATACATCGATCAGGTCTCGCTGTCCGGCGGTAGCAGCACGGAAACATTACCGGGTATCCGTGCTGATTACCTCGATCTTGAACCTTTATCGCCTGGAGCGGACGTTTTGACTTTGCCTAACGATATAATGGTCGTTTTAAACGGCAACGATACCAACGACGGACAGTTTCTGCAGGACGAGACTCAGACTACGCGTTCTCTGTCGTCGCCGAAGAAGTCGAATAACAACAGCAGCAGTTGGCGTCGCAAGCTCATGCTGCGTCTTCGTTCCAACGATTCCTCGAACTTGAACAATGGCGAAATACGCTCTTGTTCGACGTCTCCTTCACCCGCGAGCGAATCGATAGCGGAGTCCCCGTCTTCATTGAGGAATCCTCGTGCAGACGAGGGACGACAAAGTGACAATACCACAGCGACGACCGTCTCGTCGCCGTCGGTTCTGATCGACGTGATCGACGACAGCTCTCAGGTAGCTGCTGCCTCTGTCGAATCTCTGGAAAATGGCTTCAGCGAGCCCGAAGAAGAGAATAACAACGAAGAGGATGAGGAGGAGGCCTCTCCGGAGACTGAGACCGAGGAGGGCTTATCTTCACCGTCCAGTCCAGCAGCCGCGTCGTCCACCGTCGGTCTGGCTACTTCCGCGGCACCACCTTATTACGACTTTCTGTCGGTAAACGGCGGTACCATGCGGCAGGAGACCACCAGTACCAGCTCGCCGCAACTATCGTCTGGCGCGAGTTTGCATTCCAGCGAGTCACCGCCCGCCGACACCTGCAACTCCTATAGCGAGGAGCGCCACAGCAGTCCGGCTATGGACTCGATGAAGCCCGAGAGCCTCGACACGTCTGGGTGCCTGCCAGCTGCGAGATCTTGTCCGAATCTCGAGCGGCAAAGCGCTGGTCGCTCATCAACCAGCGGCTCGTTGAGCGCGAGTCCAAGTCCGGGACTGACCGGGCCTCGTTTCAAGCCTCTTGAGGAAGGCGACATACAAATGTGCTACCTGAATCACACTGAAACCCTCGTGAAAAAGATCCTGTCCAGCAAGTTCCTAAGACGCTGGGAGACCCACCATCTCTATCTCAATGACGCTTGTTTATCCTCCAAAACGGTGAGTGTGATGTAAATGTATTACTTTATTGCGCGTTTGCACTGACATTTCCACGTGATGTAAAATCTCTTGAAACTCGACTTTTCGAGTGCCACGAAATTAGAAGAAGAGTATCTAAAATTATTTAAAAAAATCACAGATTCGTAAGTCTACTTATAAACCTATGATTTCAACCTATCAGAAATTGATATATTTATTATATTATTATTTTAATAAGTCTATAGATTTATATAAGTCTATATGATTGAAATAATTTTAACAGTGTACGTTCTACTATTTAAATTTTTTGTCTGCTATGGCCCTGTGACTGACATTAAAGACGAGTGTCCTGAAACTCCGCTGAAAATCTTTACTCTTGACTTAGGTCGCTACCGAGCTTGTTACGTTACCGCGCGTAGGCGTGCTGGTGTATCCATCTGTCCATTGTATTATTATCCGGATTACTAGTTACTATGGTAATCTACGAACGATAATATAATATGATTGCAGCTACTCGAGAGTAAATCCTGTCGTCTAACTTTGTCTCCTAATAGGATTATTGTACTTTGCGATCGACAAATCGATTTGAAATAAATGCGAAATGTAATTAGAGAACTACCGCTGCGAGAAACGGTTAAAGAATTTAGTTATTTCTCAGCTACAAAAAGACTCGAAACAACTCTGATGGCTTCCAAGGACGACGCGAGTGGTTTAAACTGTTTATTTTGGAAGTGATAGGCAAGTTTGGAGATGACGAATTTAGCTGGTATACAATCTCACGTGTCGCGTCGTATCCATTTTTCCGTCTCATAATGCGATTTGTTCGGTTGCCTTTCGCGTAAAGAACGCATTTATCGTAGTTTGTTATGTAAACTCGCAAGGAAAAGTATTCATACTTCATCATCGCGATTCGCAGTGACTTCTTTAACACGGAGATTCTGTGATTGAGAGGCCAAGCCCGCGAAAATCATTTAGCTGCTACCGTCTTTTATATTATATTTACATTTCAATTCGAATAAATCACGTTATTTCTCCCATTCTCTCTTCGCCACGTAAATTTATTATGCTTATAAATATTTATCAATAGAAATACTGACCCATTCATTAATTTCAATCGTCAAATTGTATGTAACTATTTGAGAGTAAATCCGCTGTTGTCCAACTTCGTCTCTCAATAGGATTATTGTAGTCTATGATTGACAAATCTATTTTAGATGAATGTATAGCGATGTATAATTAGAAATTTTTATTTGTTATTTATAAAAAATATACTTTCTCCTTTCTTTCACCTTTCGTTTTTATTTATTTCTTATAATGCTTGAAATTAACTTTAAATTTTTTAGAGTGAATTCATTCTTTTGAGATTTACTTCAAAAAAATTAGAGAATTTGTTTCGAGCATTACGAGAAATGAAGGGAAAAAGAAAAGTGAAACAAGGGAATGAATATTTTTTATAAATATAATTAACTATAATTTCTAATTACTATGTACTTATGCAGAGACAAAGTTAGAAAATAAGATTTACTCTCGAGTAGTTTAGAAAAGAAATTCCCTTCTCGAAGTAAGATTGATTTCGAAGAATTTAGAGAGAAATGTTTAAAAATTCGCGTGTTGAAGTATCGAAAATTATCATAGAGAGTGCATTTTCAATTGCCTTGTGTAATAACACGCAATAGCGATTCTTGGACATTCTTCGTGGACTTACAATTTCTCGTTCGTACGTAACATTTACGAAACCACCGGAGATCAGTTATCTCGAGCAACGATGATTACACGAGTCTTTGGTCCTCCGCTTACTCCGCTCCTGTCCATGACTCGCATTGTATCAGAATGCAATCTGCATCGTCAGGGGCGATACAGCAGCGATTTATGGCACGCTATCGCGATACACGACGAAGAACGTTGGCGATCGTGGCAGCTGCACCGAAGTGCGACGGACAGCAATCCCCCTTCTCTCATCCGGTGGATGTTACGTAATTGCGAATTTTCCGGCACGCGGGCAAGAGAGAGAGAGAGAGAGAGAGAGAGAGAGAGAGAGAGAGAGAAATATTGGTTGAAAAGGAAAAAAAACGGCTAAATTCATTACCTCCAGCTTTCAGTGCGCAATCACGATACCGATTGCCTGATTACTGAACCACCGCCGCTGAATACCCCATACTTCGCGAAATGCAATTTATCGTTTCGCTTTGTAGAAGAGCACGCTTGAAGCACGCGGAGTGGAGTACTTGATGCACTACGTGATTGATTCTATTTCCGTGGTGATGCGTTTACCTTTCGACAAGACTTCAAAACTGTGCTCTCGTCCCGTATAATATGACTGAAGGATTTTTTTAAAATAAATTTTCCGACATTCTTGGTCGCTCGGGGCTGCGACTATCTCGTTGACGTATTAGCATTACAAAAAGATTTCTGCACGGTTCGCCGTGTCTGTTTCTCCTTCTGTTTTCGCGGTGCGATAACAGAAATTATTTGCATATGCGCAAAGAGTGGCAGTGCATGCGAAACTTCCCCTTACGGAAACCTTACGTTCTTTTGATGATATTACTCATTTGAACATCTTTGCAACTGTGCGTGTTTCTTTCACCTGTGAAAGACATTGGATTCTTTGAAATTAACATTCCCTTTTTTCAGAATTTTTTATTATACTCAAACATGCTTTTCTCTGCACACGCTTAGAAACATATTTGTAGAAACAACGGCTGCATTCAGCAGAAAAGCAGCTTTGAAACAGACGTTTTAAAATTCTTTAATATCATTTAGTCTTGTCCTTCATTTCTGACTGGAACTAAATGTATAAACTAATTGTATTAAAGAATCCTATAACAATAGCTTCGCTGTGTTGAGGTATGCACAATAATTAGTATTAATTTGTTAATTTTATACTGAAAATGACCCCAACAAAGGGGTCGAAACATTTAACCTGCTTAATCAATACTATATATATTCGTTTATACAATTTCCGGCCTTTTTTATTGTGATAGTTTCTTTTACTTGGAGCCTTTGTCTTTATACCAGAGTTACAAGGCTGCTCTCTTTCTGAACGATAGTTAATATTCCTGTTATCCAGTATGTACAACAATTATCACTATGATTTGATACTGACCGTACAAATAAACAACAATGATAACATTAGCATAATATATGTTGTAATCATGACGTGTTGCATATATGTCATGATAACAGGTAGAGTACGAGACGATATTTGTATCGGATATCGTCACAGAAAAAAAAAGAACCTTGACGATATGACATCAAAAGCGTTCTGCTCGTCATCGATAAAATTTTGCGATCGTTCGGTAACATTTCGCGATCATTTAATCGAGTCGAATTCTTGAATTAATCGTTCGTAAATGCGTCGATATTTGTGTGACAAACATTCGACACGTTACGTAGCGTGAAATTTGCACGATCCTTTTTTCTCGTCGTCATTGGATTATGCTAATTTGCCGATAATTCCGCTGCTTGTGCGGGCCAATGTTTGATTGGTTCGAGCCGTGCGTCAGTCTTGGCTTACATGAAATTCGAATGAAATGACGATGACGACAGACGGCAGAAGAGAGAGAGAGAGAGAGAGAGAGAGAGAGAGGAAAAGAGAAACACGCGCTCGCTGATTATCAATTCTACTCGCTATGGTTAATCGAGCGAACAACCGAGAAAAGAACCGCGACTTTTCTGACGCACACTCGGACGGCCAAAAAGATTGCCTTCTCGATATCGCGGAATCGTTTTGCTTCTCGGTATTGGATGCCATTAATATTATTTTGATATCAAAATCAAATGCGAAACATAAGGTCTGTCTGCATTTGTTTCGCGCGTTCATTTCGCCATGCGCGTTAAAATTGACATACGAAAGTCGAAACGAAAGCAACTCTCTATATATAGAGTACACATAGTGGTGGTGGGTATGTTTAAAATTAATTATAAATGCTATTTGTGTAAATAAAGTGCTTTTATTAGCCTCGGATCCACGTCAAGAGCGCAATTAATATGCTATCGCGCGGAATTCCTAATATCGGAGTATCGGTGAAAATAAGCAGACGTCCCCGATATTCTACGGTAATTTGCATGAAATACACGAGGCCACGAATATTTTGGGAAATTTATCTGTTCTTTTTTTATTCCGCCTTATATATTTGGCTGATTAACTGCTAAATAATTAATGAAACGAATTTTTATACTTCCACGACGATGCTGTCGTTCCTGGCGAACGCTGATAGCATGTACCCGCACATAATGTTACATTTATTAACCTGCAGATTCTAATCCGTTAGCATTGCCGACATGGGAGCTCATTAATAAAGCACAGGTTTATTAGCATTAATAAACCGAATCATGTTAATCGGGTTAACTGGAATTTAGTGTCTATTTGACGGAGAGAAAAGAGAGGCGGAAGGTATATTTCTCGATAAAGAGGCGGTCAATCTGCTTCAACGTTGCGCGCAGCAAAGTTCAAGATTTAGGAGGATTTAATCGTAATTGAGCTGTGTATATACTGACAGAGATCGTCTGTTCAGTCAGCAATAAAGAAAAGGCTTACTTTTTCAGACCTTCCGTACTTTTTCCGTGCTATTTCCGAAGCGAATGCATTCCAATAAAATCGCGAAATGAAGTATATACGTCGCGATTTTTTATCAAATAGCACAAATTGCGATGAAACTAGATTACTGCTAAAAAAAAACGCGCAATAGCAAATGTGCAATTCATAAATATTTATGATCGTTTTTATCTCTATTTATCATTCTCTCTTTCGCGTGGTTTATATATATATTTTTTTTGTTATTTTTATACATTACTTATCTGCACGTACTTGAAGCTATCGAACAACAAAACCTCGTTTTACCTTTTCCAACGGACGTCGTTAAAATGTTTCTCCTTCGTGACGCGAAGTAACATTTTATTCTCAGCGGAACATAGTCAGACGACATCATCACACAGAGGGTTACAGAAATGTTGGAATTATTATTCTTATTTAAATGCACATCTTGTTATTATTACGTATGTATATACATGTTTTGTGCTCG